GGGGGGGGATGGGTTGTCTTGGGTAGGCGAGGCGAGACCACATCAATGAGTCCTGAGGAGCATTGTGCCTTCGAAATAACTTCGGATCGAATATAATCAACTTCTAAAACATGTAAAAATAATAAAAATAATTTCATATTTATATTGCGCAAATTAACATGTGGATATGATCAAATGCGCATCACAACACTTTTCGGGGGACTTTGGCCGAACTACATCAGCAGTTTACAAGCAATTGAAGGAAACTTATTTGAAGATGCCCCCTTCCCCCCCTCTATTCCCAGTAAACAGGCCAGACCACATCACAGTAACCTCGTGAGTGGATTCTTTAACGTCCCCTGCCTAACCAAATTAACTAATTAATAGATGCAGGAGACGGGACCTACGGTTTATTCGTCCTTATCCGAGAGGACTAGAATGTTTATCCATTTCTTGATATTGTAAAAGGGTAGCGCATTCTCCTCATTTATTTTAAGACCTTGAGTGTTGGTCCGGCCGGGGCTCGAACCATCGACCTCAACCTCCCGCACGAAAGTCCAGCGCTCTAACCAATTGAGCTAACCGGGAGGCGGTTGTGACTAAACATTATTCGACTAAAGACCTTGTTGGTCTCACGCATATGCATCTTGGTAAACGAAAACCTGTTAGGTTTCTTTAGGGAGGCCCTGAGTAAGAGCTAGCATGACCTAATTTGCATAATGGCAGTAAAAGCCCTTGTGGAGGTGGAATGGGGTCGGTCGACGTCATTTTCTGAGAAAAGAAATGAAGGGCTTAACTCCTTAGCCCTGATTTTGCCTTTATTTGTGCTCATGCTTATTTTATCTGTCTGGGTGTAAACGCTGTTCAATCACGCGATGTCTGTTCACTTTTCGTCCTATGGTTCTTCAGAGGTGAGACAATTAAAGCAACCGAAAAAGAATCATGTTAGCTTGTATCAGATTAATTCTCACTGCTCTTATCAGGAAATCACAATTTCGGCGCTGAAGACTTCGTTTTTCTAACGAACTTCAACTCGCTTCTTTGGGTAAAAATACAGGTACGACATCGTATCAGCAGGACTGTATGAAATATGAAAGGATTCACAACTAAAAGCAGCTATCAGATGGAAAGATGTTGGCAGATCAGATGTTTGAAAATTTTTTTGGGGATATAAACAGGTTTGCGTTAAAGGAGAAATATGTCTTTATCGTCCATGACAACCAACCACAGGTAACCCAGGCTCCATGCAAATATGTTGTAATAAAATTCATAACCAATATTTGAATCATTTTGAATCATTTGAATCAAGGTCGTTACTTTGAGACGACATTCTTCTAAGCCAAGAATCTGTAGACTTAAATTACGGGCTACAAAAGGATATCTTGTGAAATGCCACCACTTTACCTGCAGCGGTATCATGACTGACGTCACACGAATGACGTCACACGAATGTCTGAGGTACTTAAAAAAGAGAGAACTCGTTCATTTACCATTGTCTGTTTCGTTGGTGGAAAAATTTGAACAGAAGTACTTTTACAGATAAAAGCTTTGAAAGTTTTAGGAGCAAAGGATATCTGGTCTCAAAGTTAAAGGGACAACGAATAACTGAACTGGAACCTTTTCCC